TATATGATTTGCATTTTGTGAAAGCAAAAAGCATTAATAGATTATGGTGTATATTAATTTGTACAATATCCCTTTCTTTAGCAAGCCATGGGGAAAATCAGCTATTTACGTCTACTAATAACCTAATATTAATGTTATTGTACGATTAATATTGTTGTTATAAGATATTTGAAATGCTATTTTTTATTCTATTACAGATTTAGAGTTTTTAGCCTAAATGAGAAGGTCTTTGGTAAATATTGGATGTATTTAGAATGTTATGTATTTCAGTTATATTGTAAACAGTGTTTAAAAATGTTAATATTGTTGATTTGATTACTGTAATAATTATTATTTGTTTTGTTATTCAGACTTATTATCACTGCATTTTATTTGATATTAATTATGGAAAACAGAAAGCACTTGCGAGGTATGTCTATTTTTTAAGTGCCATGCGACTACACTTCCCCTCCCTCTCACCTGTTGGTTTCTCTGAACCTGTCTTATGTCATTCTGTACATAATATTTGTATTTCTTTTTACAGGAAAAAAATGTTCATTTAGTTTAAATATGAATGTCTTGTTCTACTTTCTTCCTTTCCTTTTTTGTTACCGTGATTGTTAAATGTACTCCTGTAATAAACTATAAAGAAAAAGATATCTGAATAGAGATTTTTGTTTCCTTCCCCTTCTTATAGATAGTGAAAGAGAAACACTACGAGGATTTAAATATGCTTCTGCTTTTGGCATAGTAACAGGCCCCTTTTACACTGCTTCTTCAAGGTGGGAATTTTCTGCCATTATTCCACCTCGCCACGCTGTGTAAAAAGTACAATCGCAGAATAAAGGGCATAGAGCTGTCTCGCCTTTAAGCAGACATCAAACGTAGTGACATTGCTGAAACAATGTCTGTACAAGCAGGACAGCCAGCATGACAGGATCACTGGCAGCATTGGTGTGTTGTTTTGACAATGTGTTAGGTGTGTGACTCGCTGCTAGCCGGTAGCAGTTAGCAGCTAACTCAAAGAAGCAAAGGAGGACGAGATCAGCTGCCATATAACATGGATGATAAATGTTTATTGTTGCCATATTATTGCGCTGCCGACATGTACGTTTTTTGTCACACCAGGGGCTGATGCTATTGTGCTACATGTCACGCCCGTCGCGCCTCTTTTGCTTCCGAGATGCCGGCATGCTGTCTAAAATCACACACTGAGGCGACGTGCTGCCGTAGTTCTGTGTAAAAATGCAAAGGAGGCATAAAGAATGGACTTCATAGTGGCCCTATAGCACAATCTCTGTGTAGACAGGGCTACAGTCTAGCAGCTGTACAAAAACTAGAGTGACTTGGCAACATCTGTACAGCAGCTTGACAAAGGTAAAGGTAAAGGTAAAGTTCCACTGATTGTCACACACCTGAATGTGTGAAATTTGTTCTCCGCATTTGACCCATCCCCTGAGGGAGCGGTGAGCAGCAGCGGTGCCGCGCTCGGGAATCATGTGGTGATCTAACCCCCCAATTCCAACCCCTGATGCTGAGTGCCAAGCAGGGAGGCAATGGGTCCCATTTTTATAGTCTTTGGTATGACCCGGCCGGGGATCTAACCCACGACCTCCCAGTCTCAGGGCAGACACTCTACCACAAGGCCACTGAGCTGGTCCACAAGGCCACTGAGCTGGTAAAGATTCAAAGAGCAGCAAACAATAGCAACACAGATTCTACAGTCACCATTACCTTGTGTCAAGGCTGTTGAGACGGCCTTCTCATAAAGTAAAAACACAAAAAGCTCTTAAAGCAGTGAAGATCAAGATACTCAAGCATACTTTACCAGAATTGGTAAAGCATGCATAAAATTCAAGTGTGAATGCAACTTTGTGTGTTTTATTAAACCACATGAAGTATGTACACAAGCACATCCAGCATGCAAATCAAACAGATGGCAGGCAGCCTGCATATGCTAACGAGCTTGGAGCACTGGAAACACTGCCATGTAAATCAGAATGGTCAGAAAACTTGTGGATGGGGAACAAGTGAGACCAGGTGCCTTCTGTCAGCTTATATAAACTGTTAATAGCTGTAAACGCTGCAGAGATGTGCCATTCCATCAACAGCACTTTTTATAATACACTCGCCTGTTAAGTCCAGCACTTTGTTGAGATATTCATGCAACACCTGCACATGACAACTACAGTATTAATTATTCATGGTTACAGTTAGGCAGCTAAAACACTGTGTTAAGCTGAAAACACACTGGCAACAGATGACCATGCAAAGTTATACTACTTTTATTGGAAGATCTGTACTTCCTCCACCTTTGCACTACCTTAAAATCATGTATGGACAGCCCCAAATAAAACTTGATTTCTCAACTGAAGAGCCGATCTCAGGAGCTATGACTGACCAGGCAATATCTTTTTGGTCATTGTCTTTACAATGACAGGATTGTGGGTTAAATTCAATTTCACTGCGTCTGGCATTATGCTCTGTCTGTGCCCAGAATGAGCTCTGAGCCCCGAGATTGTGGAGCTAACAGCGCTTCTAATAACTGGTCCAGTTCCAAAAGTAGAAAATCAATATGTGGTGGCAAATGCTGATATTGTGGCCGGCTGCCCGAAACAATAAATGTATGGGGAACCCTTAAGTATTGGTATCATATCACAAAGATTGTTTTTTCTTGTCCCTAGAACTCACACTTGCATTGGCTCATTCATTCATGCTTATTAATCACTGGTTTATTCATTATCTGTTGGTGACTACAGTCAATTCATATTCAAGCACGGTCATTAACCGCTCACTCCCGACCATTACTCTGCAGATTGCTGCCACAACCTTCCTCCATGATCCCCAACCTCCTCCTTATGTATGTGTTGCACTTTGAGTATTGCTAACTTTACTGTGAGCAGAATCCTAATTGCACATCTTTTTATAAAAATAAGACTAAAGACGACCACAGACTTGATTAAATCACAACTAAATCTTATTGACAATAGCTCTGCCTATTGCTTTATCTATTAAAAAGACATCAGGAAGTTTCTTGTCTTTTTGTTCTTGTAAATGTTAACCTCTTTGTTATTGAACTCTACAAAATGAGCTTAACAATGGAGCTAAATTCCCGTCATGTGGGGAACACACCGAAACTGGTGTTCTGGTTTAGACTCTGCACACTGACTGACTGATGTCTCAATGCCTCTATATCTGTTTTTAGTCCCCAGCCAGCAGATCACTGTGGTCTGTGAACATCAAGAAGAAACCGGCTGTGATGTTCGCCGGGAGTTTTCCTTTAGCTTGATGGAAGACAGAAACTGAGACAAAGAAAAGA